TGTGTAGACGCCCCCACTGGCTGACATAAAGTCAATTCACTCAGAAGTTTACATCCCAGGAATTGTTAATCTTCCAATTGTAATTTGAACTTGGCAGCTTCTTGTACATACGCTGGGAACTATCGCTTTTAACGTAAACATCGTCGCCTTATGCCTCTACGACCGCATAACATACAGGTATGGAAGATAATTTTATCTTATGAAACTTTTGGTTTTGTGTGTTGTCTGTTATTATTTAATTTTGTTCTGATCTTTCGCGTGCTTTTAGAATTACTTTCATAATTGAAATATAAATTATATTTTATTACGTCAACAAAGATGTTAAGTATGTAGATTTATCAAATTTTACTTCATGTGCCTTCTCTAAATCGCGAGACCTAAGGTTTAAAATGATTTTTTAAAAATGAAAAATCTTTCATTTCAGCTTTCATTTTAGCGTTAATTAAAAGCTAAAGGATTACATTTATTATTTCCAGTAAGCAAAATACTCTGGTGTATTTCAAAAAGAAATTATATTGATTGGAATCGATTTTATTTTGTTAAAATAAGTGATTAGCACCTCCTTTTTAATCGTCTTTCATCGCAATGTAATTCTCTTTATAAAAAAATCATCCAAAAATAAAATATAATTTTCTGAAGTTTATTTGAGGAATATTAGTTGATTTAAAGTATACTTAATCTGATTTGAAACAATTATTTACTTTATTTAAAATACCGCAGAAATTTTTTTTTAAGCAAACAGTGTTTTTAACAGACTAGTCATGTTTACGTTTTTGACGAGTTGATAACAGATTGATTGTTGTTCCACGGAGGTTTTATATGTGAAACATAATTTAAGAAAATGACGTGAGCCTCTTTTTTATATAATTTTTAACTACTCAGTAATCTTAAAAAATATGGAAAATAATCACCGTAATGTAGTTTTAGGAATTTTAACTTTAAATTTACTATAGTCATCGATCTAAGACAATAAAATATCCGTAGAAATTCTCTTATTGCATCGTTAAATATTTGAGCTTAAAAACTTTAACAAAATATTCCAATAACGATCATATTCATGAATGCTGGTCGTTATTTTAAGAAGTGGGTACAAATGAAAATATTTGAAATTGTCTCCATTTTCGTCAGGCACTTCCATCTTCCCTACGTTTTTTTTTTCATTTTCTTACTGAAACCAAGTAGAGTTTTTTCCACTCTGTCCACGTGATCAAAACGGAATAGTCCGTTATTTATGAAGTATTGGCAGAAGATGTTAATCACGTCTACCTTCCCTTGTTTGTGTGTTTGTTTATTTGTTTGTTAGCTTTTTCTTTCTTTTTCTCACTGAAACCAATCATGTCTTTTCTCTTTTTTTTCCACGTGACAAGTGAATAGTGCATTATTCATGAAGTATTGGCAGATGTTAATCACATTTTTCTTTCTTTCTTTATTTCTTTCTTTCTTTCTTTCTTTCACTGAAACCTATCGTCTCTGTTCTCCAAAACATAATAGTCCATTATTCATGTCGTATTGGCAGGACATAACGGTCGTGCAAAATAACGAAGGAAGGAAGAAACACCGTTATAATAGGATGCTTCATCTAATAATAATATAAAAAAATTTGGCAAAAAGACAAAAAAAACTAATAAGCGCCAGAAGATTGTTTTGTGCAAACCTTCACGTATAGAGGGGCTGATTGCTCTCATAGGACACTAACATTTCCCCATTAAGGAACATGAGCGATCATAGCTCTCCACGACTTCTTATCATTTGTAGCTTTAAACAATGTTCGTTCTCTTACAATCGCTCCCATTTATACGAGGAGACTCGCTGTTTACCTCGGCTCCTCTAGCCTCCAATATTGTCCCGTGAGTGTCAAGTTCTCCAAACTCACTTTCTTCATTATGTTATCCAAAAATGTCAGCTATCTCTTCTTCTTACCAGTAGATAGGTTTGCCTATCGTCCAGTTCACACTCCTTCTCGATCTCTTGAACAGGAGTAGGGGGTATCCCTTTTTTCCTGCTTAGGATTGGGTTTCCGGTTCCTTCTAACGTCTTCTTTCTCTTCCACTTCTGTTGACCTCGTACGTCTTAGTAGCATTGTCACCTTACTTGGAGTGATATCTCTATCTCGAGTGGCTCTTGTGCCTCTACAGGGTGACGATCATTGTAAAAGAAATAAAAGCACAGGTGTTTTTTTGTTCGAATTTTCCTTAAAATTTCCTCGTTGCTCATAAGTTTAAAGAAGTACAGAGGACCCCAAATTTATTTCTAGGACACATAATGAGGAAAGAGGGCTTGGAAAATATGATACACACAGGTCAGATTGAAGGCAAGAGAGACAGAAGAAAACAAAGCATAACATATTTGATGGGCTTGAGTAAATGGAGGGCGGAACAGGCGTTAGGAAAAATAACAAAAAAAAACAAAATTTGTTAAGAGTTACAAAGGACAGAAAATTGTGGAGAGCCATGATCGTCAATGTCATAAAGAAAAAGAAGAGATATCAGGTAGACATATAAAACTATGCACACACACACGCACACACACGCACACACACACACGTACGTATGATGGACTCTCCCGTCGATTTCAACGAATGAGGACCCGACAACCCCATTCAGTTTTTATGATTGTGTCGTAAGTGATACTTCGGTCCCGCTAGTGACCTGCATACAAATCCATATATTGTGCAACAGCGAGGATCTCGAGACATAGCAACAAGATTTTATGATGGCTCTTTTCGCCGCTGTCTCTCATTTCTTAGCTGGTCAATACGACGGATTTCAAATTTCTGATACCACGCTGACATATCTCCAGTTACTTCTATCCAGGGAAACACCCGCGAAGTTAGTACGAACCACATTGACAGTTGAGCGGTATTTCTTTAGCTGGTCTTTACACCTGAACCGCGCCCGTTCAACACTCCTTTGTCCATTGTCAAGCTGGCTATACACGATGACCTTAGGCATTCTGTCGTCACTCATACTTGCAACATGATCAGCCCAGCGAATTTGTGACTGGTTTCATTTCCACCAATGTTACTTTTTTTTTTAAAGCGTTTCACCCCAAGCAAGGCGGGGAGCCACTAGGACGCAAGGGGTTACAGAAGATTTGGAGTAAGATCAGATAGGAGTGATAGACGAAAGGATGAGGAGAAGGATAGTGGATAGATCAAGGCAACTGGAGATGTCGATTGACATTACATTAGAATAGCTGGAGATTATAGCTCTCAGGGAAACTGGAATAGGGAAGGGAGTTCCACAGGCGAGAGGTGCAAGACATTTTGCGAGAAGATCGTCATGGGACATCCTATTGTCAAAAGTATAGCCACAGATCGCGCGGAGATAACTTTTGTGAAAGACATCTAACTGATGGATATGTGTTATGGTGAAACACACCTATTCTATAGTTAATAGACTCTCCCACCTAATATAAGTAGGAATAGTAATAGAAACGACGGTCAGTCGATGTTAGTCGATGTCGGACGACAGTTATTTGAATACGAAAGTATCAGCGACCACAACAAGATTACTCTGCGTAATACCTAGTATATCAAGTGCCTAACGTTTTGTACGTCGAACCTATTTTAGGACCGATTTAGTACAAATACAAGCCTCCACTGCGAAATCACTCCACAACAATATGGCACACACACACACACACACACACACACACACACACACACACACATATATATATATATATATATATATATATATATATATATATATATATATATATATATATATATATATATATATATATATATATATATATATAAATGGTAATGGGATGGGTATGTTCTTTATTAAGTAGTCAAGGCTTGATTTTTGATGTTCATGATAGGTCATGAATGTAACGGAAGTGCTCTACTGTTTATCAGGAGCTAAATATGAAAAAATATAGTTTTATGGTATGTTATAGTTATAAAGTGCCCAATATCAGAGATAGAGCGTAAAAAAGATATGTAAAGCACATTTCCTTTTAAACCAATAACACAAATATTACATGAAAAATATGGTTTCATATAACCGTTACCCCCATCTAATAAGCGTTAGAATAATACAATAAACCTACTCATAATGCACCATTGACCAGCATATATACATAGTCGAGTCATAAAGACAACGCACATAGCCTGAAGACTGCGTTAAAACATGAAACAGATTGTCGCTGCTGAGCGTCCACTTATATATAAAAAATTATTGTATTGAATAAAATATGTGGTTCTACAGAAGGATATTGATAATGCTATGGACGGAACAAGGAATGTTAAGGAAAATGAGAAGGACAAGTACACGTGCATTTAGAATAACAAAGTGTTATGGTCCGGTTCCTTGTACCACGGTGATAGTCCAAGGTAGAACCAATAAAGACGAACTCGAACACGTATATGGAATAACACAGATATATTACAAACAGGAATATATACAGAGAAGTAGAAAGTGTTAGTACGAACATTCAGGTTTAGTAGTAATTGTCTGAACGCGACTCTGTTTCGGACTGCCTCTGACTCGACTGACTGACTCGCTCACTCTGACTGACTGACTGACAGACTCATGACGGACTTCACTCCAGACTTCAGACTGAACTCCCTGCTTCCTCTTGAGGCGCAGTATATATTACGTATGGAATAGTCCATTATGTTATTATGGGTAAGGTCCCATAGCACAAAGAAACAGTTGGACGAGGAAAGAGTGCTTGGAGAATTTAACACTCACAGGACATAATGAAAGCAAAAGAAGCAGAGTGGAGCAACGCATAACGTTCCTAACGAGCTTTTTTAAATCGATAGCAAAACAAGAAATTGAAGGAATAGCGAAAAGATAAACCTTATAAGGATAGGAAGATGTGGAGAGCCACTATCGACTGTGTCTTGAAGGTAACACGGCACATCAAAGGAGAAGAGGTGGTCTTAAAAGACATGACTTTGCTTGTGAGTCGAGAATAAGGTTTCCTTCTCATTTTTCTTTTCACGGAATCACTAGGGAGTGTCCATGCCTTCTATGTTTTGATCGATGTTGTTTATTCAGCTTAGTATGGCGGAATTCACAAGTACGAATCACTTGTGATACTCGAACCCACTAATTATGAGCAAGCAATCTATCTCATTAACCATTAAGCCACTACAGGGCCGCCTTGTCTCCATCCACTTGATCAATATTGTCCGGGCAAATGCTAAACTTTGTTTGCCTCTTCATGATCCCAAGAGATAAATAATCACCAGTTTTATGATATTGAATCAGCTTCACACGACATAACCACAAGTGGGCGTTAGCAGATTGTAAAAACGAGAAAACTAGGCGTTCTATCAATCTATGGTCCGTTTAGATGGTTGAGATAGTTGTGTATTTGGTTAGGACATCCACCTTAATAATCAATGCATTCATATACTGAGAAACTTTTAATATCTGTATGATCGATCTAAAGAACTATTCATATTTCCTTTTCTCTGTGTCCATATCGCCGTCTGTTCATATCTATCTATCTATCTATCTATCTATCTATCTATCTATCTATCCCAATTTGATCGCATCTCTCTCTCTTTCTATCTATCTATCTATCTATCTATCTATCTATCTATCCTTTGTCATTATTATTATTATTATTATTCCTCTATTTGTCTATTCATCTATCTACTTTTTCTCAGTTGCTATCTATCTATCTATCTATCTATCTATCTATCTGAACTTATTCATATGTATCTATGCCAGTCTGTCCCCCCTCTCTCTCTCTCTATGACAGTATCTATCTATCTATCTATCTATCTATCTATCTATCTATCTATCTATCTATCTATCTATCTATCTGTCTGTCTGTCTATCTATCTCTCCTTTGTCATTATTATTATTATTATTATTATTTCTCTATTCATCTATCTACTTTTTCTCAGTTGCTATCTATCTATCTATCTATCTATCTATCTATCTATCTATCTATCTATCTATCTAAGTTTGTTCGTATCTATCTCTGTTCCTTCATAGCTATTGATTTATCTCAGTCTGTTCACATCTATGTTATTTTTTCTTTATCCATTTTTAATCAATTATTTAATTTTCTCATTCACATATCCCTTGTTTTCAATATCCACCCGCAAAAAAACATTACATTAAAAACAATATACGTATATATATATATATATATATATATATATGTGTGTGTGTGTGTGTGTGTGTGTGTACTTTTTATGAGATATTACATTTTGGTATAGGTTTCTCGATTCGTTTCATTCTGGGAATTTTAAAGCCTATAAATCATAATTGAAGCAAATTAATCGTGCAGATACTAAAAATAAAGAAACAAGTAATAGATTTTTATGGCGGTTTTATCATCTTAATATAAAACTAAGATTTATTATTGCAGGCTGAAATTAATGAAATAAAAGAATTGCAACAAGAATAGATGAACCAACAAAACATGAAAAAGAATCGGGAAAATCTGATATTATGATCGCTGTTATTATATAAACAGAATAAGCCTTTGGGAGGACACCTCTCATTATTCTCATGAATCGTATAATAATAATAATAATAATAATAATAATAATAATTAGGACCTATAACAATTTTATGGAACTTTACAATACACACAGAGAGAACGATCAAAATTAATCGCCAGACACTGAATATAAAACTCGGCCAGACAGAATGGGCCAATATCTGCACTGGAATATATGCACCTTTTACGGAAAGGAAACTGCAAGAAACTGGTATGAACATCACCCAGATCCAGATAGGACCTGTAACAATTTTATGGAACTTTATAATATACACAGATAGAAAACAAAAAAAAAACTACAAGGGCCTTGAATTCGAAATTTCAAAAATGCGGTACATGAGGGCACCAATAATTCCAGTTGTAGTTGGAGCCCTCGGATTGATTGGAAAAAGTTCCGAAAAATGCATTGAACGGATTCCTGGTAACCCAAGCCTTAAATATATACAAAAAAAAATGTACTCACAAGTACAGCACACGTCTTATGAAGGTCTTTATGCAAAATGTTAGCGATCTTAATTTTTTGTTGTTGATTTTTCTTTTAGAAAAATGATCAATGGAAAATGTCACGAAGCCATTTCTGACATTAGCCGGAAGGAAATGTGTATAAAATAGAAATCGAAGGAAATAATAATAATAATAATAATAATAATAATAATAATAATAATAAGGAGATAGGACCTGTTACAATTCTATGGGATTACACAATACACACTGACAGAATAATCAAGGCCAAACGGCCAGATATTGTTATTAAAGACCACAAACAAAAACGGTGCCTCCTTATTGATATGGCAGTCCCTGCTGACTGCAATGTATCTTTGAAGATATTAAAAAAGTTGTCAAAGTACAAAGACCTTGAAATAGAAATCTCGAAAATGTGCTGAACTGCTATGTAATATCAATCCTCCTATATGGCAGTGAATGCAGGACAATTTCCTCAAAGATGAAGAGGAGACTTGAAGCAAGAGAAACAAAGAAAAGTGTGCTGAACTGCTATGTAATATCAATCCTCCTATATGGCAGTGAATGCAGGACAATTTCCTCACAGATGAAGAGGAGACTTGAAACAAGAGAAACAAAGAAAGAGTACTGAACTGCTATGTAATATCAATCCTCCTATATGGCAGTGAATGCAGGACAATTTCCTCACAGATGAAGAGGAGACTTGAAGCAAGAGAAACAAAGAAAAGAGTGTTCAACTGCTATGTAATATCAATCCTCCTATATGGCAGTGAATGCTGGACAATTTCCTCACAGATGAAGAGGAGACTTGAAGCAAGAGAAATAAAGAAAAGATTGCTGAACTGCTATGTAATATCAATCTTCTTATATGGCAGTGAATACTGGACAATTTTCTCTCGTCCTGTGTATTCCGATAAACTACATCCGACAGCAATACATCTGATCAGAAGGGTGGAGGTTTTGAGGAGTTTAGAGCCATAACTAAATTGCTGTTATTTTCAGTTCTACTCTAAATTTGTGGTAGCACTTGTTAGGGTCCCGGCTATGGGCGAATAGTGAAACCTCAAACAAAGATCAATAGTACGTTTTTATAATAAAATTATCAATAATACATTTCTGTAGCAAAATGATAATGCAACACTAAAATATAAAAAATATATCTTTATAGTAAAATTACCAACAATACATTTCATGATCTACAAAATATATATCTAAAAAACAAATCATTACTCTGAAAGTATGAAATCATGTAAAAAATATTTAGATTTCGGCGTTAAATAACCCATAGAGGTGTTGATATGTCACCAAACAAAATCAACCAAAGAATTTCCTCGCAGATGAGGAAGAGAGTGCTGAACTGCTATGTAATATCAATCCTCCTACATGCTAGAGAATAATGATCAATTTCTTCACAGATAAAGAAGAGATTTGAAGCAAGAAGAAAAAAATAAAAGGGTATTGAACTGCTATGTAATATCAATCCCCCTATAAGAGAAACGAAGAAAAGAGTGTTGAACTGCTATGTAATACCAATCCTCCTATATGGTAGTGGATGTTGGGCAATTTCCTCATAGATGAAAAGGAGACTTGAAGCAAGAGAAACAAAGAAAAGAGTGCTGAACTGCTATCTAATATCAATCCTCCTATAGGGCAGTGAATGATGGACAATTTCCTCACACATGAAGAGGAGACTTGAAGCAAGAGAAACAAAGAAAAGAGTGCTGAATTGCTATGTAATATCAATCCTCTTATATGGCAGTGAATGCTGGAAAATTTCCTCAGAAATGATGAGGAAACCTGAAACAATTGAGATGTGGTTTTCCAGAAGGATGATCAATATATCACGGACGGATCGTGTAAGCAACGATGAAGCTTCAGGAAAATTAAAACATAAAAAATCATTGAATCATAAAGGTACATTTGTAATTTCTGGGACATCTGCAATCTGCAATATCATTGGTCTTGATCTTACATCTCGGCTTCTGTCATTTCCCCACAGTCGTAATGCTGCCATATCTGGTTTTGTGCATCTGCTATATATTTAGAGATCCTTGATAAAATCCCAAAAATATTCGGCAATGTCATAGGTCCTGACCTGGCATATCAGCTTCAGTTACTTTCCCACTGCCATAGCGTAGCTTCCCTGTATCTTTTCTATAAAAAAAACTTCCAGGGTAATTGTTCCGATAAACTTTCCTTTATGTCACCTAGAACTCAAGCTTAGTACTAAATTGGCGGTTAGGTCTCATCACTTTAGAACCGAAATGGCTTCTTTGCTAACAGTTTCTTCTCTCACACTTCTCGCTTGTGGAACACTCGTTTGGCTTTTTGCAGTCCTGTCAAGTTTGATCTTCAGAAATGTAAATGCAATGTCGATTATTATCTTTTGTTTTCTTAATTTCTCTTCTTTTATTGTTCTCATTCCACTTTTTTCCACTTATACTCTTTCACACTCAGTATCCCCTACGTCTTAGTGACTTTGTTGCCTTGCTTGGAGCGAGCTGATAAAAACATAACGAAGAAGGAAAAATTTAGTCCTCGGTGGGCATATCGAAGGCAAGAGAGAGAAGGGGAAGTCTGCGGGTCAACTACCTGACAAACGTGAATGGATAGCAGAACGGTGATTAGGAATGATAGTAAGGAGACAAAGATTGCTTAAAAGCTACAAAGGAAAAGTAGTAGTGGAGAGCCACGATCAGTCACAACCTGAAGATATACGGCACATAGGAGGAGAATAATTCTCCAGTATCTTTCTCAATATTCTGATTTGAATAATAGTGTCTTTGATATTATTTAGTTGCTTCCCCATATTTTCAGTTTCTCGATGGGGTGCTGAAAAATCATAATCTCATCCAAGAAACTATCCCTACTCAAAAAATTTCGGTAGGTGTGTCTTAATCTCTTCGGACCGTTTCAAGTACGCCAGTAATTATGGATATGTAATTAGTTGGATGTGTCAACTGCAAACTGAAAACTTGAAACTTTCATATTTCAAAGTACATTTTATGTCATTCCAGTACTACGCCAACTGCTGTCAGTCAGACTGTGTGATCGATCTCGAGCCCACAACCGAACGTGGACCTTACATTAGAGTCTGCGATATCTGTGAGACTACCCAACTCCTCTGTGGAGCGGTTGTTTTTATTACTCTCTCGGGTTTTTGTTCTCATGCTTGCAAATCAGGATGTAGCTGCATTCGGTGACCTGCATGATATTCCATGTGCAAGTGCAATTTTCCTGTTTAACAAGTTTTTCATTTTTTTTTTTCTCAAGATCTAAATAATTGTCCGGCTTCTTTCATTTTGGATCTACGGTTTGCTGGGACAGCGACATCAATTCTCTGACAATTTTTCTTTATTCACAGTGAATATTTTTACTCATTGACTCTTTCACAATTCACTTATTTTCAATTTTATTCTGATCTGTTAGAACAGCGACATCAATAATTGCTTTCAATATCACATTATCAGCAGCGGCATTTTAGAAAACTTATACACTATTTTTGTCTCCTTTCAACAACAACCTGTAAACACATCGTCTCATTTAAATAAAAATATGTTCAGGTGCAAATTTAAACAGGTTAAAATAAGGATGTATCAAAACATCTTTTATGTCTACAAACCTTTCCTTTCATGCACACACTAGCAGCATGGCCCGGCGTTGCCCGTGCTTGATTAAAAAATCGTACGACTCATACAGCAATCACTATCACTTGACTTAAAATATTTTTGCCCTTCCTTGCCTTTAACGGAGTGCCCTTTGCCGTGCTGATGTTGCTATACGCCTTACTTCTTGCCTATCTCATACTGCGAATTTTTTCTAAGCCCTATACTAAACATTAAATCTGTTACGAAAAAAGAAGTAAACAAAATGAACACAAAACGATCAGCTTTAAAAAAAAGGACTCGTAACTGGAAAAATCGAATGAAAAAAGAATGTTAACAACAAATACTTTTTCACACCCAACCCAGTTCTGCGGAATCAGAATCGACGTTGAGTTTAAGCAAGCGAATGAGCCAATTGG